AAAAAAAAAAAAATAGACACAAAAGGGAAAAGGGTTGCACGAGCCACACAATGAGAAACAACCCATATTTATGCTCCCTGGCAAGGCATCGTTAGTTTAGAGGCTCGTTAAGACAAGAATAACAGAGGAGGGCAATGCCAGTAAAAGCTCCCAGGTATTATTATTATTACACTACATGTGAAGCTGTTGACCAGAGACCGAGTCACGACTTGCTTCCTTGTTTTTCAGAGAGAGGTTGGAAAATTGCTGGTCGAGATCTCGGCTGTTTGCACGTCGGTGGCCTGAAGTTGTTGTCTGGGGATGATGATGTGGCTGCTGTTGCTGTTGATATAAGTTCCTTAGCCTTGCTACTTCTCGTTCTAGTACTTCATGCTCCACTGCACGACAAAATATCAACAATTTGAAATCCAAATGATGTTATTCTTCTTAGTAAAGAAACTTTTAAAAAGAATATTTTTCATCATATAAAAATATCAAAAACAGGTGAACCAGACAACAGATTTATCATCAATTTTCTGAACCAACTGCTCATCCTATCTTTTCTAGATATACGCTGAATTTTTTATCCTCTATTTCTTAGCAGAACAACTAAAATAGCCAGCACAAAATCATGGATTCGTGCAAAAAGATACCCATAATGAGTTCAGACATGATTCACTAAATATATGAATACGATCTTGTGAAGCAAACAAATAAGAACACTAAAACACAAAGGATATTTTGACTTACAATACTTGATAAGCTGCTCCTGAGATAAACTCTCGAGGCGTTGCTTCAGTGCTTTGTTCTCCATGCTCAGAATGAGATTTTGCTGGTTGATGAATTCAAGTTCAGCAGAAACTTCAGAACCCTCTGCCTGCAATTACACACAACACGATTATGTAAACAAAAACGGTGCATCAAGTCCAACTAGACTTAGTCAAGAAGATTTAACACTTGCCTGTAAAGCTTGGACATTTCTTTCAAGTTCAGCTATGTATTGGAGCTTCCGGACCCGCGAACGCTGAGCAAATTGCCTGCAACAGATGCAAAGGTGACTCGATAAGCTTCCAGCTAACCAAGGAGCATATTTGACTAAGTTTTTATGATAGATTATAGATAATTGTTCTATAATGTTTCCTATCTCTGTTAGTCTTCAGAAAAATATAAAGTATACTCATGAGACCATATACTTGAAGCAAAAAGTCATTGATAATATAACCAACTTTTCATGCCATAAGTTCTTAAAGTAGAGGGCTACAAGCACAGGTTCCTTAAGAAACAAGTTGCTTGTATCGCTATGATTCACAAAGAACTACACCCAGAAACCAAAAATGCTAATTCTCATTCATACATTGACATAAAAGGATGCTTATATGTCAAGCTTTCATCATAACATATAGCAGGTGCAATCGAAAAGAAGTTGTAAATATATCAAGGCAAAAGGAATAGAAACCTTAAGAACGTTAGTTTGTACTTTGTATTATTCCCTCAATGACGAATGATCAAGCAAAGCATGCGAGCAACCAAAGAAAGCATATGAGCAAATCAAAAAAAGAGTACTCATGCATTTCAACAGCACCATCGGCGTCACCATGTTCTCAAAAACTTAAAAACATGCAAATATGAGGACTACTGGACAAATTCCAGACAGTATTAGTTTCGAGACAATAAAGAACATTTAAACATACTGTTTGGCACGTTTATTGTCTGTCTCTGTGGACTTGCCATGAGAAGCCTCCTTTTTCTCGGCGGGCCCCTTCAGATCCTGATGACTCAACTCGACCGCATCCTTCTTCTCGGGTGGAAGAGACAAATTCTTATCCGCATCCTGTGAGGTGCTCAACAACCCCGCATTGTGGGCGAGTGTATTCCCTCTGGGAGAAGGAAGCCCACGTGAAATCCCAGTGGCAGCAGCAGGTGGGTCCCACAGCATGTTCCTGCTTCTTCCGAAATGATTCGAACCCACATAAAACCCCTTCTGCCTTGCGTCCCTGTAAATATCAAAGTCCTGAGAGCCCCATGGGGACAGTGTCGTATTTTTGTACCTGTTAGGATCATCTTGAACCATGTAATTCATGCCTCCCACATTAGACATGTCCATATATGCAAATGAGTCGCTTGACGACCGGCGGTGGACTCCTTTCCGGATGGGGGTTTCGGGCTCGTCCAGGAGCTCGTCGAGCCAGGAAGGCTGCTCGTCTATCAAGAAGCTTTCAGAGGAGGTGCGCTGGTGGTGGTGTGAATTTACGTCTCCAGGCTTCGGGAGGGTTTTTGGACCAATAGCTGAAGTGGGGATGTATTCCTGGTAGGATGGGGATATGCTGGGAAATGGGCTTTTAGGGGGCAGTAGGGAATTCTTCCCGTTGTACAATGTGCTTCGAACACTAGATGGTCCCTTGGAGTTCTCCATGGCTGAAGAAACCAGTTCCTGTAACTTACATCAACATTTAGCATTAGAATATGTGCATTTCGAAAAAAAAA